ATGTCACACTTCCTCGCAACAAAAGATATAACAATGTGTTGCAGAGAAGAGATCATCCAAAGTGATTTACCCCCAGGAGATATGTTTTCACACCTCTCTGGGCGAGAATTTTTCGAGCCTCTCCGCCTGTTGAAACATAGCAGGCACACTTGGAGATGGAGAAAGTCCACGATGGTAAGCGTCTCAATTGCCTTAACAACTTCATGCCTGACATATTATCGCTTCTTTTGCAAGTTGATTTGCTATATAAGTAAGTGTCTTGTCAAATTTGTGTTGCAAAACGTACTTCATTCATAGCTACGTGTGACATCAGTATGGGTGAGAAGGACTTCCGAGAAATGACCTCTTCGGCTGAAGAGGTTATTGATATCTATCCTAACATGTTCAACTTTTGGGAAGAGTTTGGCTGTCACTGTGACATCTCTGAGGCCCACCAAATACTATGATCACTGGGTATCTTGGATGAAGAGTTTCAGTTTTATGAACTTGTGATTTCGTCAAGCGGGGTTCCTTCTTTACAAGGTCAGGATGATCTCATGACAGTTCCAGGGGCGGATCTAGGGGGAGGGTGCAGGGGGTGTGCACCCCCCCCCAACCCCCGAGATGACCTGCGGTTTTCTAATACAACTGGTATTCTGCAAACAAAAAAAACTATGTTGTTTATTGGTGTTGAAGTAGAGCAAGAGACGAGTGCACCCCCTCCTAAAAAAAATCCTGGATCCCCCCCTGCAGTTCTCTGTGGAATATATGACGCCACTACACCTGTAAAGGATACATCTTTACCACAGGTTGTAGAAATGATTACTATTTCATTATGGATACGCATTGCCTCAGAAAAGAACGTGGTGGCACAGGAATGGCTTGCTCAATGTTTTCTTCTCATCTGAGGGAGAGTTAGAATCAGAACGCTGCTGGCTTCGCAATTGGGTACTGAAACGGCTTCAATTAGTAACGTCCAAGGTGAGTCCCGCAATCCTTTCTAGAAGCAAAGATTCAAAGGTTGGGTTCCTCTGTTTGTACACTCTGAGATTCTTTCACGACTCATCGAAATTCGGAAAACAGGCGCTATTCTTTTTGGCTTCGATGTGCTCATATTCAGAACAGAACATTTTTAGTGAGCATAAGTGATAATGGCCGGAACTTACCCTCAATGGCACTGTCTTTGTGGGCCTCCTAACTGCTGCAGCTGTATAACTTCTTGGCCAGAAGAAGAGGAATGTGTACAGGGGTGGGGACTGACTTTTAACATGGAGCTGTTCATTGGTACTTTGGACTCTCCTGTGTGATACTGGCTGGATTTGTAATCGTGTATAGAACTGATATTTCTTTTTGCTTGTTTTTTTCGTAGAAGTTGAGGTGGAGGTGAGGATTGTGATTCAGGTAAATAAGCTTTTATCATTAAAAAAATTGCAAACGTTTTCTTTTGATATTGTTTCACGTGCCTCTTGTTAGAGCACAAACGTTCGTTTTAGTAATAAACCTAAATTCTAATAGTATGGAGGCTTAGCTAGAGAATTACGCCATTTTTGATACAAGTACCAAATTTGGAAGTAATGTTTACATTCCCAAGCTGGTCATTTCCTGATATAGTGCCAAGTTGCATTTTCTAATTGCAGATAATTAGCAGCAAATGAAATTTTCAGACCAGAGTCCCCCACGAAGCACTTTGTCTTCCTCTTTTTGTTGAGATTTACTGCCATCTTATCTCAAAGTACAGGTACAGCAAGAAAGATGTTTAAATCTGGATGTGAATTTTTATTTTATTTTCTTCATTATATAAATGCAAGCTGTAACTTTGAACTCTGTTTCGTCACTGGTCCATGTCACAAGGAAATCACATGAGAAATGCATGCGCACCTGTACTTTCAGTTGCTTGTTAACCTTCAATGCGTTTGGAGCTACATTGACCACTTTCACTGTTTTTAGTGAAATTTTTTTCCTGAAATCTTACGTAAAACAAACTATTTGTACTGGAGCCATTAGCTGCTATAGACTGCTACTAAACTTGGACCTGACAGATTCATCTCGGATCCAAAATTCAGGGTGACTGCGATTTTGATACCATCCTGGAAAATGGCGGAAAAACACTCATCGGACGTGAGTCTGGAAAAAGCTGGATTCTCGGTATAATTGGAAAGAGAAGACAAAGACACACTCTTTCGTGACGATGATGCGAACAACTCAGTCCTAAGGACAATTCCTGTCATTTCAGCAAACCCCAATGACTTGTTGGAATCGACACTGTTGAAGCTCAATGACAACATGTTGTCAGTATCTCGGTCTGTGAGCTCGATGCAGGAAACCCTTGCTCAATTTGCTGATGGCCAGAGATACTCTAAAAGGCCAAGAGTTGATGAATTGTCTGACTCAGACACCGACTTGAATAATGACGCTCCTGAATCAGACAGCAACATGCTGCTTAAAAAAGGAGAAGAGTAACCCGACACGGGAGTTGAAAAATGATTTGCTCGACGCGATTGCAAACAATCTGAATGCTGACGAAGAAACCGGCCCAGATGTTTCGGAAAAGCTTGCCAGACTCGTCAATAAGAGATGGTCAGAGAAACTAAAGAGAAATTAAAGAAACATTTCCGACCCAGGAACCTTTGGAGCCTAGTTGCTCTACATGTAAACCCCGAAACATGGGCAAACAAGAGCCATACGGCCAAAAGCGTCGATCTCAGAGCAGCCAACACACAGAACATCGTTTCTAGGGTGGGCACTATTGCTGCAAAATGTACTGATAATTTACTCACGGCCTGCAAAAAAGATGGCAAGAAAATTGACCTTGATGAAATGGTTAGTTTTCACTCCGATGCTCTGGCATTGTTAGGCCACCCGCAATATGAATTATCACTGAAAAGACACAAGGCGATAAGACCTAGCCTCAAGAGAGAATATGCAGCACTTTTCCCTCTAAATGTCCCAATAAATAAAATAAATAAAATTTCACAAGTGTCAATGAATGGAAAAAAATCACAAAAGGCTGGCTGCAAAGGTAGTTCTAGCACCAGGGGACAACACAGATCCTCAGACCAGTATTACAAAAGGTTCTTTCATTCCCACAACCAATAGAAAAATCGTGGCAATAAGTCAAAAAACTTCAAATCCCCCCTCTACAAGAAGAAGGGGGGGGGAGCAAGAACCAAAGGCAAACATTAAGGAGCTGACCAATTTAGGAACCCCGCAGGTTAATAATTTTGAGCTTTATGTTGAGAACATTAAACAACTATTGTTGTGTCAGATTCAGTACTTTAAGGCTGGCAGCATAAGTACATGTTACTCGAGATGGCTAGACTTAACCTAAGAACCTGAGGTCCCTAGCACTGTGAAAGGCCACCCTATAGGATTTATTTCAACTCCTTATCAAGACAGGGTCCCAACACAAAATAATAATAATAATAATAATTTACATTTATATAGTGCAAACCTCTATATGAATATATTTGGTTGCGCTTTACAATATTGTTATATTTTAATTTATGTTAAAGGTGACTAAAGCACGAGAAACTATTAAAAACTACAATAAAAAGTATTAAAAACTATAAATAAATAAATAAATAATAATAAAGGAACCCTACTATAAAAGCCAACAATTAAATCTATTTAAAAGCTAAATTGAAAAAATGAGTTTTAACAGCAGTCTTAAAAGTGTCCAATGTCTTCATGTTGCGAATTGCTGAAGGTAATGCATTCCAGAGATAAGGTGCAGCTGACTGGAATGCACGATCGCCAAGAGTTGGATGGGTCTTAATGCCTGGTAACTCGAGGAATATAGACTCGATTGACCTTAAAGAGTAAAGAGTAAATGTCAGAAGTAGAATCTTAAACTTTATACGGTAACTTATTGGAAGCCAATGAAGGTGGAAAAGCAATGGTGTAACATGGCAGAATCTAGGTGTTCCGGTGACCAACCGAGCCGCGGCATTCTGTATCTGTTGGAGTTTCATGATATGTGAATTCGGGAGGCCATATAATAGACTGTTACAATAATCTATTCTACTGGTGATAAAAGCATGACCTAATGATTCGGTGACTGAATGACTTAAATATTTCTTAATTCTACACATGTTATAAAGATAATAGAAAGCGGACAAGCAAGTTTTGTTGATAAGACTTAGCATACTCATTTTAGAATCAAACCAGGTTCCTAGGTTTCGAACTTCACAAGATGGAGCAATTTGGGAGTCCCCAACCGATAAGGTACTAATGTTACTGACTTTCTGAAGTTGTTGTCGTGTTCCAATCAGAAGACATTCTGTCTTATCGGAATTCAGTTTTAACTTATCCAAATGCATCCATTGACTGATATCAGCAATACATGATTCCATTGCAGTTATAGCAGTGGTCTCCTCCAAATCATTTCCTGATCTAAATGCGATATACAATTGCATGTCATCTGCATAACAATGGGAATTAGGAAGATGTGATTCGACGATCTTAAAAAGTTTGCTAGCATAGAGGGAAAACAATAATGGCCCGAAACAGCTGCCTTGTGGAACTCCAAATTTAAGATTAAAATTACTCGATAGAACTCCGTCTATACAGATGTGTTGGGTTCTATTAGAAACGTACGATTCAATCCAATTAAGTGCAAAGCCTGAAAATAAATTTAGTGCAGAGGAAAGCACTATTGTTCAGTACGAGATTAACAAATTACTTCAGAAGGAAATTATTGTACCTGCTCGAAATGAAAAAGGGCAGTTTATATCTACTATATTCCTAAGGCCAAAACCTGATGGCACACATTGGATGATCCCAAATTTGAAAAAGTTTAATGGGTCAGTGAAGTATGAACACCTAAAAATGGACACACTATGGATGGTGATTCGAATGATGAAACCTAACTATTATAGGGCATCTATTGACATCAAGGATGCGTATTATTCAGTTCCAATTGCTAAAACTGACCAGAAATATCTTAAATTTGAGTGGCAGAGAATACTATACAAGTTCACGTGTTTCCCGAATGGGTTAGCATTGTGTCCAAGAAAATTCACTTAACTGCTCAAGCCAGTTTACTGTTACCTAATATGGCGCGCCATTTGTGTCAAAATTAATTTTTTCATTGGTTATTAATTTTTAATCAGTTTTGCCGATCAGATTTACCAACCAGTTATCGATCAATTAAAATATTATTATATTGTGCTAATTTTCTACCAGACATGTAAAATCGATCAGCCCGCATATCATCAATCGGTAATCTGTCTTGTGAATTCTGTCTGAATGTCTGTACGATCGATCAGTTGTCCGTAATCAACCATGAGAAACTGTCTCAAATTTTTATCAGTTTATTGTAGATCAGCGTAAACTCAGCTTGTGCGTATTTTCATTCAGTTGAGCCTAAAATGGATCAGTTGAATGATTGATCAGTTCTGCATATTTTCATTCAGTTGTGACTAAAATCGATCAGTTGTTATATGATCGACAGTAGTGCTTATGTTCATTCAGTTGTGACTAAGACTGATCAGTTGTTATATGATCGATCAGTTGTGCGTATTTTCATTCAGTTGTGACTTACAGACCGATCAGTTGTTATATGATTGATCAGTAGTGCGTACTTTGATTCAGTTGTAACCTACAGACCGATCAGTTGTGCATATTTTCATTCAGCTGTGACTAAAATCGATCAGTTGTGCGTATTTTCATTCAGTTGTGACTAAAATCGATTAGTTGTTATATGATCGATCAGTATAGTGTGTATTTTCATTCCGTTGTGACGAAAAACGATCAGTTGTTATATGATCGATCAGTTGTGCGTATTTTCATTCAGTTGTCACTAAAATCAATCAATTGTTATATGATCGATCAGTTCTGCACATTTTCATTCAGTCGTGACTAAAATCGATCAGTTGTTATATGATCGACAGTAGTGCGTATTTTCATTCAGTTGTGACTAAGGCCGATCAGTTGTTATTATGATCGACCAGTTGTGCGTATTTTCATTCAGTTGTGACTTACAGACCGGTCAGTTGTTATGATTGATCAGTAGTGCGTATTTTCATTCAGTTGTCACTAAAAACGATCAGTTGTTATATGATCGATCAGTAGTGCGTATTTTCATTCAGTTGTGACTTACAGACTGATCAGTTATATGATCGATCAGTTGTGTGTATTTTCATTCAGTTGTCACTAAAATCGATTACTTGTTATATGATCGATCAGTTGTGCATATTTTCATTCAGTTGTGACTAAAATCGACTGGTTGTTATATGATCGATCAGTATAGTGTGTATTTTCATTCAGTTGTGACTAAAATCGATCAGTTGTTATGCGATTGATCAGTTATGATCTGGGATGCTGCTTCTACCTTGGGGTTTTGCTTGAGTGCGGCAGCCAGTAATGCGGGGCGGCAAATTTGAATGAAAATAATATATATTATTTTGCATTCACTTAATTCTATTTGCAAGACTTCACTTGTTGATATGAAGTTGTTGTTTCAGTTGTGCTCGAATGATGGTCTTCCATTGGAAGGAATCTGGGGACTGTTGTGGTCTCATAACAGTGTTTTGATACTTGCCAACGGAAACCGGTTGTTTCTCCAACGAGTCGTTTTGCCAACAGTCGTTTCGCAAACATCTCTGGTCAGTTCGCAAACGTGTAGAAGTCAGATCGCAAACGTTATAAACATTGATATGTCTACCTACGTTTTAACTGTTCAGTTGGGTCTGAAATTTAACATTACAAACATTTACACGATACAGAATACTACATTACTTACTGGTTGTATGCGTAAATTATCGGATGTGAACTCTCACAGCTTATTTCCCGCTAAAGTATATTTCTTAATCAAATGGACAGACAAGTCGATTGGGTACAAACAGACCGCCATTTTGAAGTTCCTTTATTTAAACCCAGTCCTTTAGGATAATTGTTCGTCCTCTTTTCTTACACTCGTGTGGTTCAGTGCGCGTTTGGTTTCATACAGCTTACCTCGTAGGAAACACGCGCGCTATTGTTATCTTAATTAGAGTTAGTTGTCACCTATTTAGTGGAAAACTACAAATCAGTGGTACCATATCTAATCGACTACCAATCACATTGCTGTGATTTTGATCCGCTGCTACTGGGCACTACAGTATATAAAGGGCTGCGAGTTCTGTTCATTTCATTTAGCTTCACGATCAGTCAATAACTAGTTATGGAAAGTTTTTATTGTATCTTCTGCGCTAAAGAAGTCACTCCTCGTCAGGAAGCCCTTTTATGTGATGGCTGCGACAGGTGGCAACACCGGCGATGCCAGACAGGCAACACGAGGGAAGACTACAGGGCTGCAGTGTGATCAGGAAAGGAGATCGTTTGGACATGCATTTACTGTGCTGATGATGATTCCATATCTATCGCTGAGAGTACAAGACTCGATAACTTTGACATTCCACCGTCACTTCATACACCGTCCCAGCAATCAACAGCGGAATACGATAGCCGACAGAGCTTGGAGGACAACCGTAAGTTTCTTTTTTTTTTCTTGTACTTGGTGTTTCGATAATGAATTATTCCGATTAATCAGTTAGTCTGTCTTTTCTCTTAAAATCCGTCTAGTTCTCGCAATCCGCGACGTTATTGTTAAAATAAGTGATTGAGTTGAGACGAGAAAGCAATAGTTAATCACAATCACCTTAATCACAATCACTCTTTTCCGTTTGTTATTTTTTAATTAATGTGATTTTTGACGTTTATTCCACAGATGACGATTGCCTCACCGAGTCTTCAATTGCTGAGCCACTCCCAAGCTGCGACGTCATTGCTGACCACCAGGCCTCAGTTACTTACCATCTAGTGGAACAGGGAGCCAAACGCGGGAGAGCCATGCTAGTCGATAGCCTTGGATTTACTTATAACATAAGTGAACGTATGCTTATCTAATAAAGGTAGAGCAGTTCCTTTTAAATCACATATAAATGTTTAATTCTCTCTCGATGTCATGTCTCACTTATACGCATCTCTACGTTGTTGTTTCAACAGGTATTGAGGATGCTCATTGACTTGCTGCCGAGTGAACCAGCCGTCCAACGGGTTACCTTTGATTTTGAGAAGGCCTTGTGGCTTGCGTTTAGATCAATCCTGCCTGCAGTAAAGATACAAGGCTGTGTCTTTCACTGGACACAAGCAGTGTGGAGAAAGGTTAGTAAAAGAAACCAAATGAAATAGATTACAAATGCAAGGGGACTAACGACAAGTAGGCTTATTACACAATTTAATATGACTTACCAAACTGACGCGTATTATTACATGAATCTACTCGCTTGTTACGTGTGGGCTGTCCGAGTAACAATTTAAAATGACTCACCAAAACTGACGCGTATTATTACATGAATCTACTTGCTTGTTACGTGTGGGCTGTCCCAGCAACAAATAAAAAAAGATTACATAATTTAAAATGACTCACCAAACTGACGCGTATTAGTAGATGAATCTACTCGCTTGTGACTATGCCTAACTTAATAAGCAATGTTAATTTTTTCTTTTTCAAAGGTACAAGAGCTAGGACTTCAATCAGCTTACTGCAGAGACGACAGTGTATTCAGATACATCAAGAAGCTGATGGCCCTTCCCTTCTTGCCATTTCAAGAGATCGCACCAAGGTTCGTTCGACTGAGTGTACAGACCCAAGCACAGCCCCTCCTGGATCTCGTCGACTACATGAAACGCCAGTGGATAGAGAACCCCGTCTTCACACCAAAGGACTGGAGCATCTACAAACAACCAATTTGTACCAACAACGACATAGAAGGCTTGCATAACGCCCTAAATCGCAGAGCTGGTGGGCAATGCAACCTGCCTTTATATTATCTCATTGAGCTTCTGGACAGGGAGGCGAAACTCACAGCTCTCACCATTAGGCTGGTCTCCGAGAGGAAATTGAAGCGCATGCAGTGTAAAACTCACAGACATCTACAAGCCAAGTTGTTTGAATTCTGGGAGCAGTATGACAACCGGCAGAAGACTGCCTTGCAGCTCCTCAAGGTCTGCTCACATCTAAACGGCCCAGCACGTTAAAAGTAGTTGCATAGAAGTATTCGAAATTGTCTCATAGGGGCGGGTATCACTCTGATCGCCAACACGTCTCCGCATGTAATAAGGTATATTTTAATTTAAGTGTATCGGTTAAGTTGATAGTAGTTGATGTGCACAGAAAAATTTGAAATAAGGTATATTTTAATTTAAGTGTATTGGTTATGTTGGTAGTAGTTGACGTGCACAGAAAAATTTGAAAAATGTTTATTAGTGGTTTAGTCAAAAGTAGTGAATGTTAGGGTAGCCATATTACTATCATTAACATGAATCGGTTTCGTTAAAAGTAGCTAGATATAAGTATTTGAAATTGTCTTTATAGGGGCTGGTTAAGTTGATAGTAGTTAACGCATGTCGCGTGTCCTTTTTTGTAATACATTATATTTCAATTTCAATGAATCAGTTTTGTTAATGGTAGTTCAATGATTTCGAATTGTCTTTATAGGGGCGGGTGTCACTCTGATCGCCCACACGTCCCCGCATGTAATAAGGTATATTTTAAGAATCGGTTAAGTTAATGGTAGTTGACAGCACTTGTCGTTTTTTGCTCAGAATTTGAAATTGTCTTTATTTGGGCAGGCGTCACTCGGACAGCACACACGTACCATGTAATTCGTGTTAATTGTAAGCAATAAATATGTTTGTGTATTACAACAACTTCATTGGAAAATTGCTGTAGCCAAACCAGAGTCACTACCGGAACCGGAAATGGGAAGTGAAGGACATTGAGACGTTCAATGTACGTCACTTAGCAACCATGTTAATACTTCATCCCAAGATGGAGGCGTTTTTATCTGGTCTCTCGGAAGTTGTGGACCTTCCTTCAAAGAGAAAAGCTTCCTGATAGAACACAACAACAGTAAGACCTGTTTCATATCGGTAGATTGATTTGCGGATTACAGCTATTGTACATGCAACACGCAAACGCTGTGATAGAGCGAAATCAACTACAAGACTAGCCTTGAGAGTTAGTTTGTATGCTCAAATGTTGACATCCGAAATCTGAACTGAACTGGCTTCTACACATATGAATGTTTATAATGTTTGCAAATTGACTTCTTCACATTTGCGAACTGACTTCTACACATTTGGGAACTGACCGGAGACATTTGCAAAATGACCGACATTCTCGCTGACACTTCCCGAGATTATCATTTTCTGTTTTTTACAATGTTACATGTATCCGGATCTTTCTTCATGGTTAAGTTCGAATATTTGGAAACGAAGGTCATACTTTGTCACACTCTGGTGACTGACCAGATTGTCACATCTATGACAACGTGTATATGCAAAGCTGAGAAGTAATTTTTTTGTTTTTCGGTTCTAAAAAAAGAGTTTGTGATAGAAATAATGCGCTTTTGCTGTCCCAGCTATATTAATCAAAAATGCCGCCTGTATCTGTGTTGGTTTTTCTTTCTTTCTTCATTCGCGGTGGAAATAACAGAATGCGATTGATGAGGGTGGCAAAAGGGGGGTTTCTATCACACATGATGCTGACTTTTTTAAAACCATCAACCATCAGCCAAACTGGGCGAAAATATTGCACAAAGTGTTCATGGCAATATCTCAACCCATTGAGTAATCGACCCCGGCTATAAAATGGTTTTCATTATCCTTTTTGGTTAGGATCGTGCTTAAACAGTTAATTGAATGAATTTGATTGCACAAAGGGTTATAAATCCATTGCTGTTCGAATATTAACACGGTCTAACTGTTACTTTATACTGATCTGAGATCAGAGTGCATATAGGTTATAGTACTACTTTGACAGGAGTTCAGGCGATCTTGAAAGTCAAAGGATAAATAAAGGTCAAATGATCAAGGTCGGAATACANTCGAAAATGCCGCCTGTATCTGTGTTGGTTTTTCTTTCTTTCTTCATTCGCGGTGGAAATAACAGAATGCGATTGATGAGGGTGGCAAAAGGGGGGTTTCTATCACACATGATGCTGACTTTGTTAAAACCATCAACCATCAGCCAAACTGGGCGGAAATATTGCACAAAGTGTTCATGGCAATATCTCAACCCATTGAGTAATCGACCCCGGCTATAAAATGGTTTTCATTATCCTTTTTGGTTAGGATCGTGCTTAAACAGTTAATTGAATGAATTTGATTGCACAAAGGGTTATAAATCCATTGCTGTTCGAATATTAACACGGTCTAACTGTTACTTTATACTGATCTGAGATCAGAGTGCATATAGGTTATAGTACTACTTTGACAGGAGTTCAGGCGATCTTGAAAGTCAAAGGATAAATAAAGGTCAAATGATCAAGGTCGGAATACAGTTTTCCTTGGTTGTCTTTTTTCTTCTTATGCGACAAAAAAAATTTACTTCCCCTTTGGCTGAAACATACACCGTGTGGTGCAAATCTCATTTTCACCGTTTCCTTGCTAAATGGCGGAAAACCAGTAAATATGTGATAGGGCAGAAAATGCGGTTTAATCGATACAAAAACCTATTAACATATAGGACCATACAGGTAGGGTTTTTGTGCCGTTTTGGTCTGAAAACGGGTATAGACTTTGCTCATTTTGGTCTGGAATCAGTCATGGCTTTGAAGGGAACTAAGGGAGTGTACCAATGTATTTAGTGTTTCAATTCCAAATGTTACGGACACTAGCCTCAAAATTTGATTTCTCCTTTTGCCACGCCTGTGTCGTTTTCACACCTTCTGCTATAAACTTTGCCTCAATGTGTATTAGAGTCGGTTTTCTTTTTTTCGATTAGGTCAAGATGAGTTCAAATGATAATATTACTGAGATACTAAGTAGGTTTTCTAGATCTGCTTCGCAGCTTGCTGATCTAATAGGTCGTTCATTATCTGACAATGGTGTATCTAATGCATTAGAAAATGCAAGGAGATCTCTAAATTCTCTTTGGTCGGACACGAGGCTGGCCAACGACGTCTGCCGTTCGTTTTGCTCGAATCCTGGTACTTTGAGTGGCTCCTCAACTAGTCGAGCAACCCTACCATCTGTTACCAGGCTGCATAGGTCCTCTTCTTCTCACCGCTTCGCTCCTTACAGACAAAGTGGTGAAAGAGGAGCAGGACATGAACCAAAACGGTTCGACATGAAGCTCTTAGTCGTCAATCACGTCCTGGAACTGTTCGAAGGAACCAAGAGCATCTCCAACTACCAAGGACAGGCCATACTAGCCACGGCGTTTTTTTTTAAACCAAGGATCAGACCGAAGATTTAGTAAGGGAAAAGATAATGGGTGTCATCCATCGGCAGTTTTAAGATTTTGATGGGTCGTTTTCTTACACAGCGCAGAGAAATAGAAACTTTCTCACTTTAGCAGCCGACCAAAATCTTGATGCACAGGGAGTACGGACCTTAAAAGGGAATGGTTCCGTTTATGTCGTGCTGGATTGGACTAGCGTGATAGATAGAACAGGCCATTGGACAACTGAAAGAGTTGGCCCTTTAATGGGAAAAAAACGTTACCTATTTTGTTTATAGGGTTAACGAACCCAGGAGGGCGTAGAGGTGGCTTAGTGTCAGTTTTATGTGTTTTGCAATGGATCCACCCAATCATGAGCCTTTTGGAGGTGGAGAAAGGGGGCAGCGAATTTATTAAAAAACTTCAACAGGTAAAATTAGTTTTTCCAGTGTTTTAATAAAGGTAAAATGTATTGTAAAGTTGGATTTATAAGTTTGAGCCACTGATGACCAAAGAAATTTTTTCACTACAGAGTTTTATCTACTGTCTGCAAATATGTTTCAGAAAAGTAAATCGGGAGTTACTGGGTACGAACGATGCTAATAAAATTGTACTCTTTTTGTCTTTTTGATTTATCAGTGCTTTGCAGTTAGAGGTAGTGCAGATGTAAGAGTAAGGGGAGTGCTAGATTCCATTCTTTCGGGGATGGAAATAACAACCGGGAAGGACGATACAATGGAAGGAAACGCAATATTGGACAGTTCGTTGCGTTGCATAGCAGAAAATGAAGGGGTAAGTAAATGCAGATTTATAGTTGAAATTAAAAACTGGTAAACGTGCAGCGAGCAACCATGAAGTCAAGGATGCACGTGGGAGGTTCCTGAGCGCCTTACAGTATTAAGTCAACCGAGTAAATCCCACACTCATACGACGCCTTACTCTTTATCGCCTAATTTGTTTGGTTTATACTATAGAAAGCTGAAATACTAGCGGGCAAAAGGTCTACTCGCACAACGCTCAACAGTTCACAGTCAGAGGAAATCACCCTAGAGGAAGACATTGAGGAATCTTGCCATATCCTTTCAAACCCGAAATCTTCTCGTACTGTAACAGCCTCATTCTCCAAAGATCAACTCTACTGTATTGAAATTTATATCCTTGACTTTTTGTTAGCGACTATGACACTCACTATAAAGATTTGCTCATCTTCTGCCAGCTCCGCAAGCATGGATGATCGTTTGCGCGATGCTCTGAATGAACATTTAAAAAGTAGCGGTTCCCTAACGTTTTCTCATTGGAAGCAGACATGGAAAGATGGATATTCCAATCAACACACAGGAGGTCAGGACACAGCAACCTACATATTTCACTGCTTGCTTGTTGTTAGCATATATCAACTATTACATTGCAATTCAATATTGCCGGTCTCTTTTCGACAATTTATCAATAGTAGACAATGTTTTATTCATAGGGCAGCACAGCTTTCTTTCCTTCCTTCCTTTCTCGCTTTTTTTTACCATTAGCGTTGCCGATATTCGTGTAGTTGGCTTGTTTGCGGTTTCCCAAAGAGTAAACAAGCTATCTACGTGAATGTCAGTGACACGATCAAATGACTCTGCACAAGGTAGGTTGCTAAAAAAAATGATCTGCTCACAGGGTACATCTATCTGCGTGTCAATCGTTACTTTCTGTGATGATAACGGTTACTCGTGATTATCTTGCTCCTACTTATTGAATTGAACTTATTTTTTCTTGCAACAGCCGAGGAAGCGGATTTGTGTGCCATTAGCTGTCAACTGTGGACAGATTATCCTGATTGCCTTATTGTAGGTCTCGATAGAATCTCAAAACATGGGAAAATGGTAAGGCTTCAGACATAGGCAGCATATTACTCGAGCCCAACTACTCTACTGTTAACTCTTTTCTTTCTTTGTAATCAAATTCAGTTACCGTAAAATTCCGAAAATAAGCCGCAGAGCTTATATTTTTCAAAGACCCTTTTTGAGGGGCTTACCTATGGAGTGAAATTTGCATTTCGAAATCGATTGGGCTAGCCTTATAGTTGGAAGTAAATTTACCGTTTTTGCTTTGTTTTACTCTGTATTTGAGGGCAATTTTCAAGTACAAGCCCCGGTGGGCGGGGGGGCCATATTTAGAGGGGCGATTTAACAGAGGGTTTTTTGCTGCATTACCAGTTTGGGGGGTTTATTTGGAGGGCCTTCCTTTTGGAATTTTACGGTATTTTTATGATTTCTTGATTAAAGAACACCAAAACAGTTTTGGTGGACACCAACATCCCAGTTGAGGACCTATTAAAGCCTGAGAACGATACTCTCCATTCTACAGATAGCACTTCTGGAGAAGGCTATAAATTGTTTGCCCTTGTCATAACAGCAGAGGATGGAAGATTTTACTCCTGTGTAAAACCAGAGGCTGACGCGCATAAATGGTAAGCACCTTCATTGAGGATTGCATCAATTGATTGTTCTCTCTCTCTTGTCAATGTTAACAGTTTGCCAAGTTTTGCAAGAAATTCTATAAAACGTTCGCTAGCCAAGGGGAGCCTTGCTGAACTCAGGAAGACAAGTGACTCCTCTAGTTCTCTTATGGATATAAGGAAACTAGCTGGCTCTGGCATTTTTGGCACATGTTATAAAGTGAAGTAACAGTCAACTATGCCTTTATTCTTAAAGGGCTGTGTACGATGGCTTCAAAGTTAGAGTTTGTTATGACCAATGGTTTATTGCGCAGGTTATCCGGAGGACAGGACCCAATCTTTATAATATCCTTTAAATACAGACTAGACTAACCAAGACAAATTATCGGGGGAAGTCTCAAAATGTCGCGAGATCCGCAGCCCTTTCAAATGTTGTAAAGAAAAGAAATCAGCGTAGCTTGACAACAACCAGCCTCCTTCGAATTCAAGTTTTCTTTTGTTTTTTGATGTTATGTTAGTGTGTTTTCGTGCTGTTAACGGGTTATTTCACTTACTGTACATGACATTAAAAGATAGATTTTCCTTGACTGTTCATACCTATTGCCTTCTATACCATTTCTTGGAGTGATGTTCAAAAGCCAACCACTCCATCTTCAAATGAGCAACAAGAAGCACTTCTCGTGTAAGGATAATCAAAACCTTACAGAATTCAAGACTATTCCAAAATATAATCGCCTACAGGCTAGTACTTGTTCCAAACGAACTTTCGCCCTTTCTAGTAAGCATGTTAATTAGACCATGATCTGATTTTTTTAAACTCTACTTGCAGTGGTGGAAGTGAAGAAGACTGCGTGATCATCAAAGATGTCGGTACGTAAAAGTCCTTGCTGCACATTTAGCAACACGTAATGATTCGCGTGATCATATTTTTTGTAATCTTAACCCGTCGGTATATAGCCGCTAACACCTTGAATATGAAGAATAGATATGTCTGGGATTGAACGTATTGGCAAAAATTGGCTAGCCAATATTTTTTTGGATTTGCAATTTTGGCAAGAAAATGATTCACAAGAAAATTTTTTGGGACACTTACTTCAAAGCATATCACAAAAATTACAAGTTAACAACATTCTAGACTAAAAAGAAGAAAAGGCAAAGAAGGGCACCGAGAAGCTCGCAAATTTAGCGAACGTTTCATGACATACATACACACATGTACATACATACATACATACATCTATTGTTGCTCCCTAACAAGGACGTTTTAGCACCAATATTAAAAGTAAAAAAGGAATAAAAATTGTCAATAAATATAATAACTGTATAATAATTAATTAATATATTAACATGATTCGCTTAAATATTCTCCAAAAAGCACTGAAAGTGTCTAACAAGACACAAGTGGCCAAGACAAGTGGCCAAGCGACAACGGGAAACATTTAGGTTGTAAATTGCAAAAGTAACAGGAATTTTTCTTGCTATCTAAAGAGACGGAGTAACTAATATCGCACGAATAACAGGATATTTGTTGAAAGTGGTTTTCTGTTTGAAATTAAAATTCTTGTTAGTGCAAATTTTACGGACTTTTGGGGGTCTTCTTTGCCTTTCTTCTCTAAGTCTTTGCGTGAACGGTTTGATATTATTGTGTTCATGTCCTTGTCAATGCTGTCCCCACTATCACTTATAGACTATTTATGTGCTTATAGTTGCTTCCCTTGTAAGGACCAGGCTTCAAATTAAATATTTAAATGTAACGTAATGCGTAATACTTTGTTCACAATTTCCAGTGCGACATGAAGAGGATTTACATCACATGGAAAAGGCCATGAAGGATTTTATTGTGCTGGAAACTCTGAAACAGCAGTTCCTAAGATTTACAAGAACACAGCTTCAGAACGACAGAAGAAAACGGCTTGGGCGACAAGTACAGCAGTAACACACCTTTACACCAAGTTTTTGCCGGTAATCCTGGTACACGAAAGACAACATTTGCAAGGCATGTAGCAGGTGAGAATTCCAAAGTTTCACACTAGAAATAACCTATGGGAAAAAAGATTACAATAAAGGGCTGATTTTTGTTTTTTTTAACTTTCACTTTTAAAGCAATGCCGTTCCCACGGCTTGTATAGTTCCTGCAACACTTAATTTATAAATTCCCTAATTTAACCTGGACGATGTCATATCTTATTACATTCTAGCCCCATTGGAATTATAGACTGAATAGGCCATTTGCACTAAGAGGTCATGTGACATCGTTTTTATGAAAATGAAAGTTATATGATTTTGCCTTCGAAAAACGATAAGTGGATCATATCTTAAACAAAATAATAGTGATTTGGTTTTTCCAACCNCACTTAATTTATAAATGCCCTAATTTAACCTGGACGATGTCATATCTTATTACATTCTAGCCCCATTGTAATTATAGACTGAATTTCCATCCATTGATGTGATGACGAGTTAAAAAAAGAGAATTAGCGAGATCTTATATTTTATGCATGTATTGATTATGATCTTCTCTATTATGATGTAATTACCATTGAATTCTACTTTCTTCTAGACCTGCTCTTCAGCATAAAGAAAACTAAAAAAAATAAAATTGTGGAGGTCCAAAGACCTGACCTTATAGGTCAATATCTAGGATCAACCACAGAAAAAAAACAAAAACTTGTGGAAGCTCGTGGTGACGTCCTATTTATAGATGAGGCCTACCGGTTAATACTGACCGCTGGTGGCAAGGACTTTGGCCGTGAGGCCATTGAGGAGTTGATGGCTGTTATGGAGGATGGCAACCCAGTAATGATCTTCGCCAGGTACAAAGACAAAATGGAAAAGTTCCTCAACGTAAATCCAGGACTGAGGTCTAGAATTTATAGAAAGTTCACCTTTCTCGATTATTCGACTGACGAGTTTGGGGAAATTTTTTCATCTAAAGGCCAAACAAGAGGGGTTCTAAGTGGATGCCAATGTAGCAGAAATTCTCACTGCGTACACGTCACCTGCCCAAAGAAAAAATATGAATGCACCCCTGGTACGAATCTTGTTTCACGAAAGTGTTGAAGCGGCAAGCAACAGATTACCTCTTAATCCCACTTTATCACAGCTAATGGAATTGAAGAAAGACAACGTAGTGGCGGCTTGTGCTCGTCTTCCTTCAGTTCCAGAAGGAGATTCTTCTTCTTGAATTACCTTATTTCCTCGAATAATCGCCCTACCAATACGCGCCCCTCTGATCTTCCCCCTTCCTTTAAGGTGTTTTGATACAGTTTTTCGGAGACCATACTGATGGTTTTCAATCGTCTTAAAAGTGATTTTGTCCTTGTCCGTTTTAGAGATAATACATATGGTATTGTCTACCAAAAACGGTATTGAAACACCTTAAGCCAAAAATTAGAAAAAAGGGCCCGGGTGCTTTTTTCAGGGAAATACGAGGAGTTGCATTAAAAAAATTTTGGACAGATTTCCCGGTTCAATAAAGTCAAGTGTGCCATTTGTGTTTACAGTACGTTAGTAACAAAAGCGATAATTCTGAAGGCCAAATACAAAATACTTACGGTATCATTCAGTTCTTAAAGAAGGAGAGTCTGCAACTAGTCATTGTTGGTTAGTATTTATATATTTTTTCTAGTCAAAAGAAATTTTGCAAAAAGGTTGAATTGTGGTCATTGGCGTGCTACATAACATGAAGTTCCGCATATAACTTCAATGATCTTCATTCATATAAGTAACATGAAGTGTGGATTGCTGCGTCCAAAAATTAGCGTGGCCTCAGTGAGTTGAAAAGATTTTTTGCTGGATGCACGAGGTCACACTTCATTCAACGCTGGTCATCGGCATGGTGAAGTGTAATTTGTTGCATCAGATAACTAAGTGTCAACTTTTGCGCGAATAATTTTCCTTTGATGCAAGAAATCATGTTCCATTTTCTTGAAAAAAAAAGATGGTTACTTTTCATCCTTATATATGTCATAGCAAGTCGATAAAATCAAAAGTACACAAGGACTTATTGAAGAAATACTAGCTGAACCTGTGCTCTCCAAAGAGAACGCTTTTAATGATGTATAATGATACACTCTGTTAATCACAGCTTTGAATGTACATGTAGTTTTCAATCATTTTGCACATATAATGTTCTTCTAAACTTTTGTGAAAGCCATATCTTAAGATCACATAGTAATTTTCAAGGAGTGATAATAACTCTTCTAGTGGGGTCAATTTAACTCCTTACAGTGGAGTTATTTTTCGGGGGAGTTATTTTCACTCCCAAAAGGAGTTAATTTCATAGTAAAAAGGACCCCAAATTTGGAGTTAATTTAGGAGTTTAAGAGGCGCTGACTGTAAATATCGAGAATGCGCCAACAGTTGCAAAATTTCGTAATTTATATTATTCCACCCAAAAGACCCTTTTGGTAAACTATTTTAAAAAATGATTATAAAAAGTTCCATCGCGCTTTGCTTTTTCCAAAAAATCCAAAAGTTCAAGCTACCCCGAGGCGGCCCCCGACCCCCCTGAAAAACAATGAATAAATTGTGCAACTTTGGCAACTTCGTATGCGACAATGCTGTGAATTCCCAGTTTGCTCTTTTGCATATTGGTAAAAGTACTGTTTGCCTTTAAAAGCTGTAACACTCATGCAGTGCTGTTATGTTTAAGTCAGCATAATAATCCGCTGAAGGAATGTATTTTGCATCTTTTCAGTTGAGGTAAAAAATAGGTCAACTTTAAAGGCCTCTAAAATTCCTAGTACATATATTTTCATGTTATTTTGTACATCAGGTCAAAGCTTTAGTCTTGTAGTTTATTCCCTCCAATTGTCGTTTTTAGCCCGACAAAAACGGTGCATACAGTTGGAGAAGAGTTCGGGCTACTTTGAGCAAAAATTCAATGCGAGCCGCTGAGCCGCTGTCACGCAGGAGGCATATATGAGTTTGGCAAATAGTGTATTTTTTCCTCTTTCGATAGAAAATGTTCGCAAAGAACGCCTTGAAGTGCTTAACTGACCTTTTCATTACATTTCAACGCATACAAGCATGCCAAATATCATTTCATTTATCGCACATCTTAGAGACCTAACCAAACAATAACACTGGCCATCGTGCTTGCATGATGTACAGTATGCTATAGTACATGTATGTGGTCTGTCTAGTCTAAATAAATTTACATAAATTTTGGTTCACGTACACAGCAAAACTCACAAAGTTGGTATTACACTTGTTTTAAAAATAACGCGATGTAGACCCTGGAGCTCCCCGCCTTTCGTTCTCTACTGTTTTCCTTGTGGAGCCATGAAATTACTTTTGAAAGCATAACAACATTTTTTTCACTGTTGGTATAAATGGCATCTTGTAGTTATTCTTCTCTATTGAGCGAGGATTCAACAGCATGTGGAGCAAGCTGGAAAAACCCTGAGGATTTTCAGTGTGTCACCCTCCGAGATTGCAACAAAGATGTTTCATCTCATTTGCGATTATGCAACGTAGTGGATGACAGAGTTGAAAGTGAATTCCAATTAGTGCTTGCAAGGGTAGGTACTGTTAAGATCAGTTCTTATTACTATCCTCCACTTCTCCGTCAGTATTTGATTCCGTTTTGTTTTTGATAACCTGTGTACAGCGCCCCTCCCCTCACAAACAAATTTCCCATATTTTGTGAGAGGGGAGGGAGAGGCTGTACACAGGCTACTTTTGACTTTGCGCTATTTTCCACTGCTTAGGAGTGTTTATTAGCAAAGAAACTCATGCATCGGTGATGGTTTGTCCACGGCATCGAGAGACATACAGAGTTGGCTGGAGGACAGGAAAGACCAGATGTTCAGTTCCAACCGAGATTGCAGGACATAAGTCCTCTACGGCCAAAGGTGACCGTGGAATCAGTAGCAGCGAGTCGGCTTTCGTCCTTTCAACAGTAAAAACGTTTCTTCCAGTCGGAACACGTGAGTCAATCCTTTTCAAACTATACCCGGGTACATCGGCTCTGTTCAATAACCAATAGAAGCCTGGGGGATACCCCAGACTGATTTCGAGTGACTGTCAGACGGTCCAACCCAGGATAACACTCAAACAGAAGTTTAGTTCCGTCTGTGACTGGAGATTGTGGCTCAGGCTAAGCCGAGTGATTATCCAAACATTTTTGTAGGCTTTGAAATATACGATTCCAGGTTTTTTTTTTGCGGTGGGGGACCATTTTTGAAACTTTTTTTTTCATTTTTTTGCTGAAGATGACCATGGTATGCCTTGCTTATCTCGACTGCGTCAGGCTCGTGCTATATCAAGTAATCCTTTCTGCCTCCGAAATTCAGCATTAGATTTATGGCTTTCATTTTGCTATCAATCAATCATCCCTTCGATTGAAATCTGGAGTTGAAGTTGTTTGTGTCAATCCTGCAAAGAAATTCCCAGAAATAGATATTCCAGACCAAAGGATCTTGAAGATAAAACTTCTTTCGATCAATGGCAGGTACGCGAAAACTCACTGAGAATAGAAGCGTGGAAGAGCTTGCCTTGAGGGAGCTTTCCTCTTCGATCGGCCAAGAGAGAGCGCCTACGTGCCAGCAAACCCACCCAATCATCTTGCGTCTCTCTTTCTGTTGCTCTATTTCCTCTCTCCTCCGAAGAGGCCTCGTTGGGTCGTGGGTAGGTTGAGAAAGGAAAATGGGACGCAGAGCAGGAGAAGATGGTATGATCGTCCCCCGCGCGTGTACTACATTTTATTAATTATAGCTAAATAAATATTTATGCATTTGTCGTAGGTGCTCACAAAGTGACCTTATTGGCTCTCAGTGACATCCTCTTTCTCTCTGTTCCTTTTCCTCATGAATTAGCCTCTCCCTATATCATTATTGAGCTTAAATACAGGCACAAACCTAATTCTTTTCAGCACCTTAACATGTATTTCTCATTTCTTTATTTTTGTGAAGCTATTTGTAAAAGATCCAGAGGAAACTTAACTGAGCTTATGGCCGACTTTTCTTTGGAGCCAACCCTTATGGAAACCCCTTGTTCAGGGGAGCCTCCGTTCACCTCGGTTGAGTCAGAGGTCATGCCCTCCGAGATACCTAGCTCTGAGGAAAGTGAAAAAGAGCAGGATGAACAGGTAAAAATGCTAATATAATACAAAATATAATGCTTCTGAATAACTTAATCTGGAAATATTTATTCCATATTTATAACCTATTCTGACAACTCCTTAAAACGGGAGAACATGGCTGAAAGTTACGCTAATCCTACTCGCCTCTGTCATAAACGTACTTAACAACTACATTGAGAAACAGATCTACCCAAGGGAAACATGAAAAAAAAACAAACAAACACAAACAAATGAGATAAGCAAAAGCAAAACAAATTAAAGTGTATTCCTAGGGTTATTCATTTTTTACTTTAATCATTTAACGACTCACCTTTCCTTGTTTTGTTTCAGGAAAGTGAAAAAAGCACGAGCTCAGAGAGGCTGGTACCAGGCATTCAGAAACTTCAAATTCCAGATGAAAGTTATCTTCCATCCTCCGAGACTGCAAGCACAACATCATCTAGTGGAGAGGATGCAAAATATCAGCTTCAAAAAGCCAAGCTGAATGCTTTTTTAGAACAATGTAATGTCGAACCTCTTGTCAGACATTGGAAAGACTGGAGCAAAGCAAACGAACGTACACAAGAACGATATGTTAGGCGTCCATCTGAGATAATCAAGTCGGTTTTGTCTGTTGTATACCCTGAAAACTGCGTCCACTTGTGGAAGGAGATAAAAGTATCCTCTGCAATGGATAAGCTGATGGGTACCGATTCTTTGCAGCTTTCTTCCAACAGCAGCTACCTTGAAGCCTTCTCTGAGGCATATAAGAACGCAGCCAGTTGGGACGCCCGCGGCAAGTCTTGTTGATCACGACTGGGGTGGCGAGTTATAGAAATATCTCAAGGTGCATCCCTGGGCTCACCCAATAAGACAATAGTTACTCCTATACAAAAACACAGTGTATCGGCTTGTTAAAAAAAATTATGAATTATCTGCCTCTTTAACATTGCTTTGATCAGGCCAGTAATTAATTATGCAGGTGTCCTCTGGACAAATTGTGATAAAGAAAGTCTTCAGAGAGTCCCGAAGCTCCAGAAATGAGCAGCTAGAGTGATCATGAATGCCCACCCTCAAGCACCATCAGTTCCCCTGTTTAATTGGCTGAAATGGTTACCTTTTTATAAAGAAGCTGCAATATCTAAATGTATCATTGCCTACCAGCGATTACAAGACAAATTGCTGTTTATTTAAACAGTAACATCCAAAGTAGACAAACCAGATTCTGTAATTTTAACATAACCTCTCCGAGGTATAACCGCCAAACTAAAAGAGCAAGAACTTTTACTGTCTGGATCGTAATGAATATTATCTTTTTTATGGTTTAGTAGAATCTATAGTATGTAGATCATTTAGTGTATTTTTATAGCTTGGTATTATGTATACTTAGTTGTTTATCTAATTTATCATTTCATTATGTATTTGTTCGTTATTTGAAAGGGACACAAGTTTATTAGCTCTGGCTATTTTATGTTTACCCTCATTATTTAACGTTTTTACTTACTTTCTAAGAGTTAGCTACCCATAGGCACCTTGTGACTTTACTCTTGTCATCAAAATATTAAAAAGGGGGCTAGTCATGGGGTTTGAAATTTTCTTCCCCCCCCCCCAATAATTTCTTAATGGGGGCTGTGTAAAATGCAGACAGACTGCAGAATATTGTTTTCAGGGTTAGAAAACAATGGGACTATTGTTGTCACATACTCATTTGCATGGTAAAAACATTAGTCAGCAGTCTGCATTTTACACTGACCGTTTTTTAAAGGCCCCTAATGTAACCAAGACGGCGGAGGTTGCAGGTCAGTGTGTTCATTGTTTGGCTGTTTAGAATAAGTTCACTGGGTGATCTGTAAGGTGATTTAGTTTTTGCTATCATTACTGGCAAAATTATGGCTTAAATGTTTTTGGTAAACTTTTTATTTGAAAATTACTGTGGATGAGCTTTCACATTAACTTTAAAATTTATTACAAAATATGACAACGTTATTACAATTCACGACAGCTCAGCCTATTACAATTTACAGTATCCTGGTTATTACAAGTCTCAAGAACTGTTATTACAATTCACGACATTATCATAATTTATAACAGAACAGGGTGTGCCTTTGGGACTGGAGTGCTTGGAAGGCACATCCGAGGGAACATTTGTAAAATTTGATCGATGCCCCTGCCAAAACATCTGACTTCTCTCCCAGGGGCGTAAAAGGAGATTTTGAAGGTGTATGGGAACAAAGCTAAGAGGGCCAAAGGCACTTTAAAATAGGGGTTATGAGGGCGCACTCTCGCCGAAAATCTCTAAATTTAGTGGTAAGGGGATTTAACAATCGTGAATCGTGACAGGTAGACTTTTGTGAATTTTGACCCTCATGTCTCATGCAGCATAAAGCTGGTCTTTACATCATCACCCTGTAAACGTACAGAACCCAATCCATGTAACAGCAAGTATAATTTTTTATGTAACAGGCCATTAACAAAGTCAGTTCTCCCCACCCTAGTAGAGCAACACCAGTGCAGCCATAACTAGTTCTTTTGGTTCTTACTAAAATGAAAAGATGGATTGCTATTCTGGGTTGCAAATAACAATACTACCTACTAACCGTATGTTTTCCTTTTGTATTCTTAGGAGAATTGCTATTCCAGCGAGTGCATTTGATGACAAGGTAAAGTTCCTTGAGGAGACAAGGAAAAGTTTTGCAGCGGGCACCTTCAACATCAGTGAGGATGTCCTTCTTAGAAGTTATTATTCCTATGTAAGGGATGAGTATAACAAAGGAAAGCCCAGTTTTTTTTGCTGCTGAATGTATCTGCCTACGACAATGCAGAAGTGACTACTGGTGTCTTTTAAAGGAGGTTGTACATTTATTATGTTCAATTAAACGCATCAGGCAATAGCTCAGTGTAGAGTTATGCACCTATCAATGTTTAGCCAGTGTGCGTACATGTGTAGGAGTAGACTCAGAGACCACGTTCACTTCCTAAACTGCATGAAGATGTCATAACTTAGGCTGAAGTTTCAGAGAAGCTTCAAGAAACTGTATTACTTGCATTTACAGATTGATAGTTGCCACTTCTGTTAAGAAACCTGGTTAAAGTTTCATTTTGTCAATGTTGTAGATTCACGTGTAAAGTGGTGTGGTACGACCAAAAGAAAACCAGCAATTCCTTTTTACCAGCAATGCATTAGAGAGAGTTTTACGTTGAACGTTCCCTTTTGGAAGACAGAAACCATTGCCTTAATGTTGTAAAAATTCAGCTAAAGTACTAATGTATAGGCACAATATATTGGTCATATACAATAAGGGTAAATAAAAAAGAAAGGCTATAGTCTGAGTGTTAAACCCCTTCAACTCTAACATCCTTAAGTGGCTTAAAACATACTTGTTTGGTATTTCTGGAACGTTCCCTTTTGGAAGACGGAAACCATTGCCTTAATGTTGTAAAAATTCAGCTAAATTACTAATGTATAGGCACAATATATTGGTCATATACAATAAGGGTAAATAAAAAAGAAAGGCTATAGTCTGAGTGTTAAACCCCTTCAACTCTAACATCCTTAAGTGGCTTAAAACATACTTGTTTGGTATTTCTGGAACGTTCCCNAATAAAAAAGAAAGGCTATAGTCTGAGTGTTAAACCCCTTCAACTCTAACATCCTTAAGTGGCTTAAAACATACTTGTTTGGTATTTCTGGATGTTGGATTTCATTATGCATTTCAATCATCAGCTTGGTAATTATACAATATGTACTTCACAATGTCATATGTTTTATATTTAAGGTAGCTGATATTAAATTTTTAGCTGCCCACCAGTGAAAAGGGTCCTGCATATAAAAGTGTATTCAAATCATATTGTAAAGCATCCATCCATGAGAAGTGGCTAGCAATAACTGCAGGTGTCTAAATAAGGTTGACCACTTAACAGAGGTTTTGTTGACACGAAATTACTGACATATTTTGTCCTCATCTTCAGAAAGGTTTGGAAAGACTCTTCTGAAATCTAAAACTATGCATGGCCACCAGGTCGACTTTTGAAACTCACGTTCCTCTCGTTGTACAAATCTGGGGTCTTAGCCTCAATTTTTTTTAACTGTTTTGCTATAATACAACTATGCAGCCTCCCTGATAAGGACCAACCATTATGACAATTTATCGTTAAAATATATCATTGTGGTCTGCAGTTAGTTTGGACATATTGGGAGTCACTGTTAATCACAAGGCAGACAATGTAGTAATTAATAACAGTAGGTCTTTTGATAACGTTAATTTTTAGGCGGTTGAAAGTTCCATTAGCGTTCCACATTCTTTTATTGCATAAAGAAATGTTGGCAAGTCACTAACATTAAACTTGTTTGCTAAAGGCTAAGGTGTAGCCACCTGCAAACATCCAACTATGCTTGGGGATGAAAATCAAAATGGATGTGGTGAATCAGGGTAGGTCAAAATTACATAGAGATCCTAATGATCTTAATGGGATAACCTCATGATCATCCATTGGGAGTCGTAATGGCTACAGACAGTGTATAAGAAGAGTGGAAAGTTCTTAGGGTATGCCACACACCGGCTGTGTTTGCTTACACAGTTAAAATGCACGTTGTGCTTACCAGCTAAAAACATACTGCATTTACTGGTTAGTTTTTTAGCTATCCTAGCCTGCCCGCATTTATGATGCTTTACAGCAAAGTGAAATATATAGATTTAGCCAGGGCTAAAAGCGAAGCTCCACTTAATACATTTATAATTTAAATCAAACAATAAACTTTTAATCTACAAATCAATTAACTTAAGGGCACATTCATGCGACTTCTGAGGTAAAGGCTAAGTTATTTTAGAGTGAAACATCTTACATCGAATTGATAGCCTTATATGTACACCCAAAAAATAGCAAACATCTTCGATCTCATTCAAGATCACAGTAGATTAGGCCTCGAAAACAAATCAGACTGAATTTTTTTGCGTTCGACAGGTTTACTTTACAAATTTCTTTCCAACAAATCTGGGGGTGTTTAAACCAACCTTTCATAATTTTTATACATCACATCTGAGGTGAAACAGTACTATTTATCATATAGACCTCAGATAGAATGCGCTATTTCACAATTTTTCAAGACAAATTGCACTCAGTCAATATTCAGGACGATCAATTGTGGGCTTTCAGTGAAACCATTCAAAATTTCCAAAATCACCCATACGGCAAGCCGGTTCTCATTTCTATAGTGTGAGCTGTCAGTGTGGTCGAGTTACCCTTCAACATAATAATGAATTTTTTTTATGTTAGTTAATGGTTTCAGTGATAACAATGTGTAATCTTATAAAGCATTTGATACACGCAACATTTTTGAGTACTCCTGCAAGCAATGTTCATGAACGATGAAAACAAACAGCGCGGACAAGCGATTAAAATTGCAAGAGAGACTACTAACAATCAATAAAAGAAATCTAATTCGCTGAAACATTTACAGAGACAACAATTTTCATTCACGAAGAGAAGTATTAAAGTGTCTCTAAAAATCCTGAGTCTTAAAAGCGTAAAGCTTAAGTTTATGTTTTAAGCCGGCTTCCCGGTGCGGTGTTTACTCTTTTCAAAGGTGAACTCCTTGAAGCAAGAAAATCACTCAAAGTTTTCTTTCTACGGCCAAATTTATAACTAAATATTCTTCGGAACTTTTTCTTTCTATTTGCGGTGAGAAAATATATCTGAAGGCTTTTTAAAGTTCTGTAAGCTTTTATCAAACCTGATACTAGGTCATATCATTCATTGACTCAAATCCTACAAACGTGAATGACAGTTGCCGCATAAACTGTCAGCGTGAA